TAAGGTTGCCAAATAGAATTATAAAGTACTGTACAGCACATTCCTTTTACATCTTATTTGCCCAGGAAGAAAGAGTCTTTAATTGCACATTGCATGCATCTCCGTATGTGAAGAGGCAGGGAATAAATAAAAAAATGGAATAAGCCCCCTCGGTTTGCTCATTATGCTTGATTTCATGGCCTGAAATTAGCATCAGCTAAGCTAATTTTAATTCTAGGGATTTTTTTCTGGAACCAAAAGCAAATGACGTTCTTTATGAAATTCAAATAACGGAGTAATGCTCGCTTGTTGTAGAATTTCATCCATCAATATACAGGTGGTACCTCACAATTTGACCACCCTGCAATTTGTCCATCCGGCAATTCCACAGTCAAATTTGCTGGACAGTCAACTTGGAATTCAACCTATGTCCTGTAATTCAACCCACATAGACATTCAAGACATCAAATGCAATATACAAAAAACATTGAATTAGACATTTTTTTGCAATTTGACTGCTTCACAATTTGACCATAGATTAGGGTCAAATTTTGTGGTACTACCTTTAGTTGGAAACTCTTGAATATACTGGCCAAGGTTTTAATTGTTTTAAAATGTTTTTACAAATGATTGATTGATGCTGCTGATGAATTATATTCCAATACGACATGGACACATTCTGCATCACATGTATGGTACATCAGTATTAAACTGGATGTAAAAATTAAGAACATTTTTGCTTACACATTTGTTTCCTATCTCCTCTTGAAACCTTTAGTAAAATCAAAATTTGGAAGGCAGTAAAGGCATAAGCCTCTAAAGTAGTCTAAACCTATGATGTCTTCGCGCTTTGTACCACGCCCATCTTTAGGGAAATCATCCACACCAATGTTTGGGCTTCAGAACTTCAACTGTTCATATTTATTTCCTTGCCTACACAATTTCTATAGGAATCGACGACATTCTTGGACTACATGGGTTCGTTAAAGGTTATGCTTGCTGATGAATTTCTTCATGAATTCCAGCCAGTTTTCGTCTCTCTTCATGAGGGTTTTATTCAATTCTGGAAGATTATCCAGAGCTTCAATGACCGGATGCGAAACTTTTGCATCGATTTTCGCTTTTTCCACGGCTTCAGGAAATTTAGCTGGAGACGCCGTTGCGACACAGACAATGCTTCCGAACTGCTGCTGAAAATCTCTGCAATATTCTCAAGAAAAAATAATGTAACGTCAAGCATCATGTGACGCGGCTGAACTCGATAATTACACGCGATTATCCAAAAGGTGATGATAAAAGGCGACAGCCGTTGCAGTGTGCGGACAAATGATCTCCCTGTTCTTCACCCAACACCGCTTCATAGTTTGCAGAATTACTTCATCCGTCGCCACAAACGAATCTGAAAAATAAAAAGATACTGAGTGTTGCAGCAAGTGTATTTTACGGTATTTATAGAAAGCAAAATTGTTTTTTATCCTTGCCAGCAACAGCTTCCTTTAGGCAATTTCTGAACTTCTCCGGCAGCGCAACACTTTCTGCAGCTTCGAACAGTTCCATGACTTCCTTCACAGATTTTGTGTCTTTCTTCGAAAGAACGTAGAACACCCTTTCCAAATTGTACGGAACCTATAATTCCAAGGAAAAAAATAAATAGTGCGCAGTCATAAGTGGGTAATTTTGCTTAAAATATGAGAGATTTTACTTTGATATCCATGGCACAGGCCAAAGTCTTCTGAACGTCCGCAGCGTCAGCAGATTTTGACAGGGTTGAAGTTTGAATTATGTTGTGCATGGCCGCGTTTGAATTGTTGCAGATGACGAAGCGAATTGGAAGTCCCATCGCTTTTGCAAAAACCCCTCCTATGTACAGTAGTAATAAATTAAAGATTTTGAAAAAGGATGATTTGAAAGCTCCACCATTGTATATGCAGAAAAAAAGCATGTACAGCAGATTAGGGCTTTAAATTATACCTATTAAAATTTTGATGCATCTTTACAGCCCTGGAATTAAGCTTAGCAGTAAAAATCACGTCGATTAATATTTCGCTCGATTTTAAAAATTGCGCCCGATTTTATAAATCAACAATTAGTAAATCTGGCCTCTGTGCATAAAACAAATTACCACTTGTTTTCTGAAAAAACCTATTTATGGCTGTTGGCTTGCTTAGTTCCACGAGTCTTTAAATTTTAAACGATTGGAGAATATAATTGCAGAGGTAGCTTCTTGCACTAAAATTTATATTTCAGGCTTGTCTGATCAGAAAAAATAATTGAAATGTTGAGAAACATGATAGGCGACAAAGAAATATAGTTCTACGAAATCTAAAAAATACGAAGAGAAAGCCAAGAAAGATGTTGACAATGTCTCACATCTCACATCTGACCGATTCAAACAAAACAATACTCATCAGCACAGTACATATGTTACTTCATCTCTCAAGATTGGATAAATTGAAATTTTTTACGAATGATTGCGCGAGAAAAAACAATTTTTCTTTTGATATAGGATCAGCTTTAACTGTTCATGAGCTGCGCCTGTTTTTAAAAATTGCTCATCATTTTTTCCTGCGGTCTACCCTGTAAATTCGAACCTGCAAGATTTCCGCCTCCACCGGTTGGAAGGACGAAAGTAACTGCGTGATCGAGTCCCGTTTCTTTGCTCTCGATAACCCGGAAGTACGAGTAGAAGAAGTAGGGAATTTGCAGAACGATACGAGCCACGTTGATTGAGTTGAAAATGGCAATGTTGTGGGTTTGCTGGAGATTCTCGTCTCTCGTCAGGTCCTTCAGCACGACGTCCAGTTCGTCAGAATTCCCTTCTCCTTCGACGATGTGAACGTTTTCCGAAGATATCGTCGTCATCTGTCGTTCCTGCGTCTTCGTGATGAAGTTTTTCGGGAAAAGGACTATTATGGACCCGTTTTCCATCGTGGCCACAGCCCTTGCAGCCGAACTTCCGGTATCACCAGAAGTTGCTGTAGTTGAATATATGAAGCACACGACATCTTAGTGAAGTAAAGTACATTTTCTGGGAGTCGCCTTTGCAATTAATTCAATTTTGCAATCCGTAATTATCTTGTGTTTCGAATGAGACACTCGCGAGAATTCCAAAATATTCAGAGACTGGGAATGAAACGTCGAAAGGCGTAGCAGAAAAACAAAATTGCTTGCTGCGGGATTCTTCTATCGTGCTCATTATTTTACAAAATTTCTCTTTGAAATTCTCCCTTACGAGCTACCATTTTATGTCGATGTTGCATTCCTGAAGGCATATAGAATATTTACTGGATATATATTCAGAAGGACAGAAACATGTATACAGTACTGTAGATGGAATTTGAGGTGTTGTATTACTGGGAAATGCCACACACGTGTACAATATACAGTACAGTACGTGTAAATCTTTGTTCATTTTTTTTTAATTTTTAAGCTGCAATGTTAATTTTCTAAATATGAAGGTCTTCGAGGGTTGTATAAAATAGTAATACTTTCATTCAACCCGCTCCAAAACATTGTGGACTTATTCAAGATTGTACAGTATATTTAAAACTGATTTATGATTTTAAATTTGTTTTTTCAATTGTCTTCCGTCTGCCAAAAATGGATCAATTTTTTCTGCATAGAAGTCTACGGGGAAAATAAAACCTGGTTAAAAAGTTTTGTCTGAAACCATTCAAGTTCTTTCTACCACGAAGGGTTCACTGTCTACTTATTTTTCCAACACAGAGAGTTTTTTCCCAGGTTATGTGGGTTCTGGACTTCTGGACAACAAAATTTGCTCTTAAACACACGATTTTTTTCTGGTCCATTGAAAATACAGTCCATTATTTTGTGCCTCAAAACTTCGCACCCGCCGAAACATAATGACATGCTATATGGTGAACGGATAGATTCTCAAACATCAACCGCACTTGTTTGATTTTTTTAATGCTCTACTTCTTGGTAGAATTTAAAAAATTGAGTTACCGACAACAGCAAGACATTTTCTTTGACGCCTCTTTAGTAATTCGTCGGCAATCATGGCAACTCCGAACAAGGCTAAATCCTTGAAAGCCAGTGTTGGTCCGTGAAACAATTCAGCAATCATCGTTCCGTCCCCAGGAAATTCGACAACTTTCAAGACCTCCGGGTGATTGAAATTCGCGTAACAATTCCTGAACCTTTCTGTAAAAAGAAGATAAGAAAAAATCAAAGAGAGATGAACAATTCATCTCTTCGAAGTGATCGAGGAGTTGAATTTATCGTCAGGCAGACATTCAAGGCAAAATTCTTTTCTTGGAATGTGTGACATAACCTCTGCTTTGTTCGATGCTTCCGAGAAGCCGATCGGAGTCGAAAAGATCCAGAATTGCGGCGCATAAATCCGGATAAGACATGGTTTTCCATTTTGCGAGGGTTTCCTCGGAAATTGATGGGATTTCTTCCGGGACGTAGAGTCCACCATCTTCCGCATACCCTGAATTGTTCAACGAATAAACAAATAATGTTAGTGTGTCTTATCACTTCGAATATTGATAGCGCACTGAAAATTGCAGGCAATTTTTTGCACAGTGGAACTTCGATTATGCGGGTCAATGACCGGTAGCCTTTTTCAAGATGATTGATGATATCACGGATAATGAAAACTCTCTGATCAAATCGTCACGTAACAATCATTAACCTGATATAAAGTATTTCAAGAGGTACTGTACGNAGAAAAACAATTGTCCAACCATCAGTTTTTTATTTTTGGGGGAAATTGTGCAATGGGGATTTTTATCATGGGGGATTTCAACAAAAAGCAGGGAAATTAAAATCGGGGAAAATAACACTGGGGGATTTTAAAAATCGGGCATTTTAATTTTGGGGATTTTTGTGACCGGGGATTTTAAAATCGGGGATTATTATTCGGGGGAAATAGAGGCAGGGGAATTAGAATTGGGGGAATTGTCCTACACCCGGTAACTTTTTATATCGTCAAAGAGTAGCGCCTGAAAAAAACAATACAGCTTTTTTTGCAACGGCCCTACACACACTACTTGATGGTCATATTTCCTATGGAATTTCCGAAAATGTGCCAATTATTCTAATTTTCCAGTTTTCTTCCTGAAGTGACTGAAGAAAGAGCCTCAAGGCAACTAGAAAACATTAGGTGTTAGTAACTTTCCCCAGGCTAACGGTGACCTTGCCTAGGGTTCTGTTAGTCTGTTGCTTTAGTCATAAAGCTTTCATTTTTCCAGTACGAGATTCCCTTTAATTGACAAAAGCCTTTTCAAGGAGAAGTTTGAGAATGAAGCTGCTCTCATTCTTTGGATTCTCTAAGATATGTTTGTTCCAAGGAATATTTCTGGGTTATATGGATTCGAAAGATTCATGTTTTAGAATCTGGTAACATATTGCACTAGAGATTCATGCGGCGAATCAAAATAAAAACTAAGTTCACAGCATAAATATTGAGCTGAGGCAGAGTCACCATATAAAAAAAGGACACAAGCTACAATGTTTCATTTATTTTCACAGGGTTGCACATTCTTTGTCAGCTAAAATGCCGTAAACTCGTTTCGCAATTCATACTTTTCACCAACTGCAACTTAAAATATCAATGCTCAGGGAGTATTTTTTTATATGGAATTCTTGATTTTTTCTTCATCGTGGAATGCCCTAATTTTCAGCGGAAGAAGAACTTGTATGAGAGTAGGTCCAATTAACGCAATCACTAATGCAATAACTTATCTGTTGATGATGAATAAGTTTCAATTGATCAACATGATGGGGATAAGAAGCATGATCACATTAGTTTTTTGTGTCTCCAGCAGAAAACGTAATTTGGACGCAAATTGGACTTGAAGATTTTGATTCTTCTGCTGCGATATCAACCTTCATCAAATGTTATCGTTATTTTTTAATTCTGCTGCCACGAAGATCTTCACAATTATTCATCGAAATATGAATCATACTCGAACTCTCTTTTTTTTGTGCCGAATTCATGGCTCTGAAAAGTAAAAAAAAATATCGTCCCATGTTTCAAAATCCCCCCCCCCCCCCGAAAAAACACGTTTCACAACCGGACAAAAAACAATACAAAGAGAACGCATCGAAAAGGCGAATAATGGCGAGATACTATTTTTCTCCTGGAATTTTTTTGTTTTTGTTTTTTTATTTACTGTAAAGATCACATGTGAGCAGCGGTATTGAACAAAACAAGTTATGACTGAAGGAGCAGGACGCAACGGTAAAGATCACGAACCTTACAGCATAAACGACGGTTCAAGCTTCGGGAGCAAGCGTTGGGGCAAAGGTGCCACAAAAGGCAACATCCTTAAGTTTCCTGTCGCAAAAAAAAGAGCGAAAAAATTGGTTCAAAGATTCAGAACACTCTACACTCTGATATCGCATACTTTTGATTCTATGATTCCATTACCTTTCGAAATGTTGATCTTTGGAGCAACGGAATCAAAGCAAAAAATGTTACAAATAAATCAGAATGATACGCAGTATTGGAATCTTTTGAAACTTCAGCCTAACTGTGTAAACAATGTCAAAACTTATTCGAAATATCTTACGTCAATATCTTCATTTATAGAATTTATCCTTCTTATTTGAGCTTTTTTGGACAGTTAATCTCGTCTTCAAATGATTTGCGTGAGAACAGCGCGTGAAGCAAAAAAAAAAAAGCAACAGAAAAATATTTTAGAGGAACATTGTTTTCAAAGCAACGTCAGTTTCCAAGTGTCAATGTCAGGAGCAATCAAATGAATAGAATTTCTGAAATGGATGAAAATCCTGAGATTTTTCATTCGAGAAAACGTAAAATTTTCTGTCATTCTTCTGAGCTTGATTTCGGTAGTACGCCGCGATTTTTCGGATCCAGTACATGGATGCGCTTTTCCAGACAGGCCCCTTTTTTGCATGCTATTTTCAAATGCGTACACATGCTCCAGAAGCTCATTTATGATCGCATTCCGTCGTCTGTTCTCGAAATTTCATTCTCTTCTGCTTTTTATTCATCATTTCTTTAAAATATTCTCTTTATGGACATGCGGAAACTTCTTTTTCCCTTGACAACGTCTTTTGATTCAGGGATGCGTGCTCACCTGTCCAAAAATTCGTGTTCACTGAAAATTGGAAAAAAAATCATGAAATCTTGAGTCTTTCGGGCGGGTCTTTATTTTTCTTCATTAATTGTGTGTTTTTGCCCTTTATTATTGTCTATACAATGACATTAATACTGCGCTCACATCATTTCGTGAATTCCTCAATTAGAAGATTTTTTTCCTTTTATATCCTTCCACTGAAGTCCCAATAACTGAAATGATGATTTTTTTTACCACTATTGCACAAGGAAAGAAAACATGTTGACATGCATTTCCACTTCATTATCTTTATTACAAAGACTCACATATTAATGTACATAGGTTTTCTCAAGTTTCCTTCCAAACATTTTTACTCAAGTACTTTGGGGTCTTGGTTAACAAATGCCTGCCTGTCTTACAAACTTTTTGATTAACAAACTCTGGGTTTGGGCATTAGATGCCCTGGTTAGCCAACTTTAATTTGGTTTACAAACTTTGGTTAGTTCATATGTGTACTGGTAACATTTTGTTTAACAAAATCCTGTGATTTCCTGCTGCTCAACACAGATCCTTTTGTTTTTGCATCGATCAAAACATTGTTTCACTCCGGAATTCTGTATAATGCGGGTAAGAATAAACTTCTAATTTCCGAATTCTGAATAAAAAATTGTTTTACGTGCGCCACAAAATTACACCATATAACACATTAAGAACATCTGGCCCCATATTTTCAAAATTAAAGGTACTCGTGCATTTCCTTTTCATCCAGTCTGTGATTGAAAGCCTTTCCATCACAGACAAATGCACGTTAGCATTTGGATTTGTTTACATTTATTAAAAATTATCAGAGTTTTCCCAGTTATGCCCAAGAATGGGAGAACTCAAATATTTTGAAAAATGATAATTTCAAAGGGTTGTTGTCCTTCAGTGAGTTTCTCTTATACTGCATCAAGACAATTTTGTGAATTTTCAGCCCAGTATAAAAATTTTGAAGATACATTTTCTTGATTTTCATGAGATCTTTCAATGTTTTGCAACCAATTACAATTATTTCTGTACTTTCTTATAGAAGAAAATGTTATTTGGTTGACAAACTTAGCTAAACAGGAATTGGTCAAGTTTGTAGACTAAGACCCCACTGCCGTACCCTTCATTTTTTTTCGCAATTTCTGAAAAAAAGTGTGTTTACGTGGTATATGCGAGTAAATACTGTACGGTAATTCGGAAAAATTAATGATGCTTCGGGCATCCAATTACCTTTCGGCATCTGCTGGCCGTTGGACGAAGGCTCGTACGGAAACGGGTACGAAGCGGCGCCGTAAGCGTGGATCATGGACACCGTCGACGTTTGCGTGGGCACGCTGTGGATCGACTCCCGCGCGAAATCGTAGGCGTTGTCTCGCCACCGCTCCGTGGGGCTGATGATCGCTTTCCACGCCTGCAAATCATGACATTTTCAATCAAGCACTAATCGAAACTCCGACAAATATTCTCAATTACCCGCGGGAACCCAAGCACAGTACCCGTAAATGCGGGTCATATACGCGGGGACATTTTTTCAGAAACTGTAAAAAACGCTCATCTCATAGCAAGAAAACAAAAAAATCCTGCGTGATAGAATTTTTATTAATGCCACGCATTCCGAACGATTTTCAGACGCGATAAATTAGCGAAGCTTCTCGCGTAATGTTAAAAGCCATCAAAGACCACTAAAGAAAACCATAAAAAATTGTGTAAAAAGTTGAGTGTATGATAAGAAAAAAATCTAGTCAAGTTGTTTTTCAATGTCGAGTGCCTCTAAAAAGAACTAAGGTTTGCTGTGGACTCTCTCTGCAACGATTTTCTCTATAGAACGAGTTTTTTTTTTTAGGTTCCAAAGGGGTCTCCTAATAGTTTTATATAGAGGTTCTCTACAACGAAACTCTCTCTACAACGGATTTTTTATTCCCATGAATTTGTTGTAGAGAGAGAGAGAGAGAGAGAGAGAGATTATGTGCGTCAACACAAATAATCGTGACCTTTTTTTTTCTTTTTTACAGTATACAGACATTCGCAGAATGTTTCGAAGTTTCCCAGAACAGCAAATCAACTATACTCAATTTGAACGAAAAAGCAAACAATTTTGCATTCTCTGGCATTTTAATTTCTATACAGAAAGAAGCAATTTTCACAAATGAGTAGTGTTCCCACATGTTACAAAGGAAGTGGTTCAATCTCTTCGGCATTTTCTGTGCACTTTTTAATGGAAATTAAAATGCGTGTAGATCTGCTAACGTTTGCTATATAGTTCGAGACAGTTCGCAGTTTTTCATCATTTTACAGAAACGAGGATTTCTGGCATAGCACAGCAGGGTTACTTTGTATATGACTCATATTTTTAGGAAATGTGAATTACCGGTTCGGGTGTCGATCGTATGAGACAAGGCTGATAATAATGAAAGAAAGTACTCAACAACGTTTGCAAATTTTGATGTCACTTTAATCTGGCATCTCACGGGCATTTTTCATTGATGCAAGTGGCACCAGAAATCATTTTTGTAGGTTAGTGATAAAAGAACCGATTAAGTGGATGGCACTTGTCTACCCAAATTGAAGATGATCATAAATTCTAAAGTCATGATTCACCAATATCTTCTGAATAGAATACTGCACCAACACTTGTTTGGTATAGAGAGCACGAAATTATATCTCGATTTTGAAGCCACATGCCTGCAAAAAAGTGGTGGGAATAGAATCGCAAGCAAAGAAATATTCTACAGATTGATGAGTCTTGATTTGACTGATGAGTGAATTAATCATTACCTCAGGAAAATCCGACGGAAATGAGCACGCCTGTTCATGTTATCCAATTACAGAATCACTTATCTGCTGAACCGAACAAAAATGTTGGAACATCACTAAGTGCAAGGAATCCTAAATTAGAGCCCGCTTTTTTCACTGGGAATGTTTTGATTACACAAATGAATAAATTATTGTCACCAAAATATATTATGAGTGTCCTGTGATAGGTTTATAATGATGCTTCCATATTGTCTGCATCTTATGTCCCAAAACGTAGAATACTTTCTTTCCTAGCAATGCAGTTCAGAAACTGACAAGGTCATGACACATACTTTTACAATGTCTGGTTTGTGGTCATTCCCTGTCCTCCTTTTGGTTGCCCCCATTGAATTGCATCATGCATGTCTGGTTCATCTTGAATCTACTTAAGGTGCCACAAAGTGTATATTTGGTATTCATTGTTGGTCTGATGCTGGTTGAAGTATCACCGAAATATATGTATCACGTCTTTATAACCAGAAGTCTATTTTCACTTGAAAAACCAGTTACAAGAACAAAGAATCTTCTTGATGGAAGTTTATCCTTGGGCACAAAAATTGTTTTACATTAATTGCTTCTAGAAGAAGACATTCTTCTTGAATAGCAAAAGTGTCTTTTATTGATTTCTCCCAAATAAGGATAACATTATTATTAAACAGAGTTCTCTATTAGTCTATTCCACAGAAGAAAATCTGAGAAGAACAGTATGCAATGATTCAAGGTATTCACAAATTCTGAAATGAGATCCTAATGTCTGGAAACCAGTCAGGACAAAAAAAATACCATAAAGCTACCAGAACATTCACATTCTTCAATTGAAAAACTGTGAGTAATGCATGCATAAACAATTGATTCCATTCTGCCCATAGAATTTCATTTTATTTATTCAAGAGATCAAATGCAAGTAGTCAAGCAAAATTTGACTAATTAAATTGAAAAAAAATTTAAAAAAGGAATATTGGCAATTTTCCAACCGTAGAATCGGTGTCTGAAATATTGCCCCATCAGTCACTGTAGCATTTCTTCAGATTTCCTCGAAGAACGTTTTGGATTAAAAGTGTGGCATGTAATTGCAGAAATTCAGTACATTAAACCCCCTCTTACTTCTAGTTCTAGGCTGATTTTACGACCAAAGGCAGCGGTATTCTATACAGTATGTACAAAATGCGTTTCACCACATCAGTTGAGTAAAAAAACTTGAATTGGGTCTCGATACCAATATTTTAATCAGTCATCGCTTCAGACTTTTTTCTTTTGAAACCAGGATCATGCAAGTTTGTTTCAATGAAGCACAGTACAGTACCATGCTTCGTATTTAAATTGAAATTTATTTTATCCAATTATGAATTGTGCCAAAACACGTACATTGAGTATTGTATCGTTCAAGAGGAGCGCGCGACTGATTTTGTAATCGTCATCCTACGAAATTATTACAGAAAAGTTGGAGCTCGTGTCAGTCCGAGGTACGGGATTCCAAATCGTGGAACTTGACTGTGAATTTTAATTGTTTTGAAACGGTATTATACAGTACTGTACTTCGTTTCTGACGCACGTCAGTGTAACATCGGGTCATGTAGTGTACAGTTTGAAACTTTGCACTAGTATGCGCTGCTATCGCGTGAAATGGCGGAAGATCAATGCATGATTACCGGAGAATGCAGAGATACACAGGGAAAAAACGCACTTATGCTGAAAACAGATAGATTAAAGAAAAATGTTTGGGATTTCGTAAAATCCTTTCATGTGAGAGCGCCTTTGATGTCTTTTAGTGACTGACAAAGTCTGCAGAATGTTTGAAGAAGCTTTTGATTTTATTACAGAAGCGAGGTAAAATATTACCTAAATAAGGCAAAAGTATTCCAGTACTTTATTTTTTAAGACGCTGAATGCGTCTATATCAGGATGATCAAGTCTCAACAAGCAGGATAGAAATGATGACATTTTTCGTTTTTGTAAATTTCCGGAATTCCCCCTTTTTGCATTCAAGTTAGCTCGTGGTGAATGCTCGTATTATTTTTCAAATCTAAATTTTATCCAAGTTCATCTGGGCTTTTCATGCGTCATCCCTGAAAAGATGTAATAATACAGTAGCCTGGTTGATTTCAAGGGCTCAGCATAAGAAAAATGTCAGTGTTGATTTTCTTTCATATTATGAAAAGAAGCAAATAAAAACTGCCACATGTGATCCTCTGGGTATATCATTGTGGCCATGAAAGTCTCAAAAGATCACTGACGCAGTCCACGCAGAGTTTCGGGCTTGGATTCTCTTTTTTTTGCAATCTCCTTTCTCAAAAAAAAAGTTTTCAAATGATATTTTCCCTGTGACATTTCGTACGAGGTAAGGCGACGAAAACTTGAAGAATTTCAGCTGCCTCAAGTTTATTTTTTGAAGTTCCTGAAAACCGGGAGAGACTTTTGACATATTTGATGGAGAAACTCACTGATTTTGCTGAACCCCGACTGTCACTTCGCAAGCAGACGACGATGGCCATAATTGGCACGATGAGAACTGGTGCAACGGCCAAGCCCCAACCCAAAGCATGTCCCCACAGTGGATACTCATAGGATCCTGATGTCGGAGGCACGAATTCCACAAAAGACAAAATCAGCAAGGCCTGCGAACATTAAACAATCATTTGAGCAACAAGATTAAAATTTTTTTAAAATCAAAAGTCGAACCTCTTCAGAGCGAACTTGAAAGGAAAAGCAAAAAAATTCGAGTTTGGGAGGTTTCGAGTTGAAGTAACAAGCATTTTTGCTGGGGAAAAATATTGAAAAGAAATTGTAATTGGTGATATTCTAGGCTTTCAAATTATTTTTAATATTATTTGACAGGATGCTGAAGTTGAAGGTAAAGGTTTTTTGCCCAATGAGTCCTTCACTTCCTTTCAAACACATCAGCACATTCTAATCCCTTTTTACTTTCTTGTGTAAAAAAATAATAGTCGGGATGCCTCCAGAAAATTCGAGTTAAGTCGTTTGAGGAGGAAAACCTTCAAGTTTAAATGCATTTTTAATGCATTGTTTCTATGGGGATTCAAACAGGGCCTTGAAAGAAATTCGACTTGGTGAAATTCGACTTATCTAGGTTCAACACTGTTGTCATCACTGTATGCTTTAATTTATCGACTTACAAGTATAAGAAGAGGTGTCACAGTTAGAAGCAGAACAGCAAGATGATGCTGCAAGAACCAGTGTAAAGGACGTTGCATCATTTGTGCCAAATCGTCGAAGAAGTTGTCAATGCCGTACATGTACGCCACAATCACGCATTCGCAAAGACCGATGAACAAGTAAGGCCATCCGGCTGCGTAAAAGTCCAGTAGGTCCAGGAGATATCGTCCACCCTGATGAAGCATATAAAATTGTAGAAATGAACAAAAACGGATTGCAGATCCATCAGAAATTGAGACAATACCTCGAAAGGCGCTGCAGTATTGTACAGAGGCAAAAACAAAATTCAACCCAGCATAATTAAAAATGTATGCATCCTAAAAAAATAGAGCTACAGTACTTTAATAAACCCTAACGAAAATGTCGGATAGGAGCTTTCTGAATTATCTTTGCGACAGCTCGAATATGCTTTAATGTATTATTTTACTGTACTTTGAAAAACGCACAAATATCAATCAGGTTAAAAGAAGTTTCCTCGGACGTTCTCAATTCTCCATTTTCGTTACTCGGTACTTCCTCTTTTTGACCTAACGTCAAATTTTAAAATAAACTTTCTAAATCGTTAAAAATTAGCCTGCGTTTTCTCTATTTACCACATCTTGAAGTTGAAATGACATGCAAAATAGAGGTTAGGTCTATTCATTCCTGTGCGTTTTGGCAAGCATTTCTGCAAATTGTTGCTGAAATTCATCGACGACAGTCCAGCTTGAACCACACTCATTTTTAACTTGAAATACATCAGATGTTAATGTCATATCGAGAAAATCATGCGGAGAATTTATCACATCGTCTCGACTGTAGTTTGTTTTCAATGGAAATCGCAAGTGCACTTTTAAAAATCAACATCAATCAACTTGGCATCGTTGAGGCTATAAATGAGGTTGGAATACAATTTCACTTATTGTCCCTCACGTATTTTATTTCGAGCTGTTATACTCACGGAAAAAACTTCGCTGTTGAAAAAAAAACCTCGATCTTTTCCTGAAATGCCCTGAATATTGTCAGCGGCAGATTACAACAAAAAAGAGGCTTGTATATACAGTATATACCGTATTTCGAATAAAAAATAAACATGGATAAAAAATGTAAATTCAAGGATGCCTCATCGGTCATCACTAATCAGTCACATACCTGACAGCACAGCGGCAAATTGAGGAAGAACCCGATGACGCACGTGGCTACGACAACCCAGGGCTTGTAGCGATTGAGTCTCGGGAATTCGTCAATCAGCGACGAGGTGGCGTTCTCGACAGTGGCGAACATGGTGTCCAGGCCCAGCGTGAGCAGCATGAGGAAGAAGAGGATGGCCCACAGCGGAGGGCACCACATGGTGGCGATGGCACTCGGGTACACGATGAATGCCAGCCCGGAACCACTGTTGGCCACCTCCTGAACCGTCACGCCCAGGGTGTGGGCCATGTACCCGAGCACGCTGAAGATGGCGAACCCGGCATACACGCTGGTCAAGCAGTTGCCGAAGCACACGATCATAGTGTCTCTGCAAATTTTCAAAACAAGCAAATGAAAAATAACTTACCATAAAATTTTTTTTAAAGATTTTGTTTCACTTATTTCTTTGCATGTCCGACGTCTGCAAGCAAAAAGCGGAAGAAATATAAACAAATTTACCTTTCAGACACGCAGTTGAAAGTTATTCTCTCATCCGTTTTTTGCATCTTTTTTAAATTTCCCCGAGAGAAACAGAATACGGTTTTCAGAACCTCTGTAAAATGGTAAATCGCACTCCATGTTCAAAATTACCTAAAATACCATGACATTCATGCATTCAGTTAAATAAAATGATTACACATTTTCATTTTCCCAAAAGTTGTTAGTCAAAACCTATGAAATCAGCTATTCTACTTTGGCATTCATTTCCTCAGCTTGATCTTTTTTTCAGAATAATTTCAGTCTTTCCTGAATGCAGAAGTAACTCGCCAGATAAAAATTTTTGAAGACGAAAGCAACGCCTTCGTAAGGCCCAGAATGTTGTCTTATTTTTCGACACCTGAAAAACCGCATTTGTCATCGTTGGGACTGAAAATGACTCATCCAAAGCCTTTCAACAAATGAGAAAAAATCGGAAGATTTCTGGGTGGATTATATGTAAGAAACCGTGACGAGTTGATGCATTTGGAGGCGTGAAATCTCTAAATTTAGCGAAGGTCAAGTCCTGAAAAATGTTTGAGAAGAAAGAAAGAAAAGAGAGCCATTCGAAAGCGTCGGAAGTCGTGACTGACTCACAGAACTGTTTTCAACTTAGAGAAGAAAAGGATTGCATAATTTGTCGTCGGAAACGGAGGAAAATTCAGACGACCTTGAGTGTTTCATGTCTGAATTTACGTCCACACAGGAATAAAAAAAAAGACACTGTAACGTAATCAACAGTAACAAGGTTTAAAATTGTTCAACACCGAGGACTCATCTGTTTCAATTCATAAACTTCAGTACCACTGCGGAGAACATTTTAATCACTTCAATTTGTATTGAAAAAAAAAGATTGCAAGGTAGGTGGATTCAAGGTTTTGTTCAATTCAAAGATTTGGAGAAAATATCAGTTCAGTGGATATTTAATGCAGCAAAGCCACAGTAAGCTTTCTTCAAAAAGAAATAATTCGAATACAGTATCACGATGTTTTACATGCCGGCAATAACACCAATAACCGATTTCATGCAAAAAATACTGTATTTCAACACTGAACAGCTTTGCAAATATGCTGATGTTGTTGCAGAAAAACTTACAGCAGAATAAAGTTGAGAAAAAGTTGATGGCTCGAAAAGTATGAGTCTAAATAAAACACTGGATCAGCCAGGAACAAAGCCGGAAATCCTGATTGGATTCCTACTTAAAAATTGTATACGGTATATTTCAATAAGTCCCGAAGGTTAAACCAAGATTTTCAAGATGAAAACGAAGACACACAACAACTCTATGAAAATACAACTCAGCAAAACTCTTTGAGCAACAGCACACTTTTCACCACGAATTTCAATTTGTGAATGCTTTATTCTTTGCTGGGCAAAGGAAGGAACAGATAAGATTTCATAGTGTTCTGATTTCATTGTTTCTGAAAGTGCTTTGCCTTTATAAGAAGATTTTTAGGATTCGTGGAATTGTTTAGTTTCCAAGATGTTCAACGGGTGATTTTACTTATTACTAGTTCTTGAGTTTTGAGGACTTCTTTTAATTTAGTCTGGTTTTTATAATTTATCAAACATGTTTTCCATGATTAACATGATTTTGGTGCAGACGTGGGATTTTCCAACAGATGTAATCTGTAACAGGGATATCCAACTTTTTGAGTCCATCACAGACCAGAACTTTTCCAGAAATTTTTTTGTGGACTGGCGAATGAAAAAAACTTCTGTGGGCAGTCAAATTTGTGAAAAATTGGTGCAGAGTTGCAGACTCATTAAAGTTTTGCTTCGAAGACTTTATGGCAAGCACAAGTGGTACCTTGCAATTAGACCTAAATCCATTGCCAAGCTAGGGTTGAATTTCAAAGTAGTCAAATTGTGAGACACTTCGTAAAAAAATGTATATATATATCAGTACACAAATATAAAAAAGTTGGTCAAAGAAGGTAAAATTAAGTGGCAAGGGTCAAATTGCAAGTCAACCTCTCTGCAAATTTGACTGTCAAATTGCAGGATGGTCAAATTGCGGGAGGTCAAATTGCAAGGTACCACCTGTACTTGAAAATCTGCCATATTCTAATATTTTGCAAAAATTAATTTCATAGCCAATGAAGCAGCTATAGTTGAATGCCATTATAAAATTAGGATGGTTTGCTTGAAGAAATATTTCTCAGAATGAAAAATTAAAATAATTTATCACAGCCGGGGAAAATTTTTCTGAATCTTTATAAAGAGAAAAGGCAACTTTTATTTCTGATCATATGATTTCAACAACCATTGTCATTCCAAATTTTCAGATAGAGATAACAGACTTCATTGCTACTTTTGATAGTTTTATGCTGAAGAAAATTTCCTGCAGACTGGCACTGGTTCATGGACCACAGGTTGTAGAACATCAGTCTGTAATGTAGTAAAAACTCAGTTAGGAGTTGAAATGTAGAGAATTTGTAAATGCTACATTGAAAAGTAGCAATGAAAAAACAAATATGTCGCATAGTATTTGACTCGAAGCTAGTCTGCTTCATTTTTCCCAGCCTCCCGCCTGAATCAAACGGATATTTTAGAATAAATCTTGAACCGAAAAAAAAGAACCTCACCTTAGCAAGTTGTTGTCAAACTTGTTGTAGGATGACAAAGTGATAAGGCCTCCACTGGCGATGGACAAAGAGTAAAATATTTGCACAGCCGCATCTTTCCACACGTTGGGATCCGCAACCTTGCCCCAGTCGGGTACAAGATAGAACTTGAGTCCATCCATGGCCCCGGGCAAAGTTACTCCTTTGACAAGCAGAATAGTCAACACCACATACGGGAAGGTCGCCGTGAAATAAACAACCTGCGGGCACGGAAATCAGCAAAAGTTCAGGAAGTGTCTGATGATTTCTTGCCAAGTAGAAAAGAGCAAGATGTTCAAAGAAGGCCTTGGGCAAGAATTCTGTACTTAGAAGGGATTACTGATTTCATGCAGTTTCATAAAACCTAATGCGTAACATTCTGGAGACTTTTTAACTCTTGTTCTTGAAAAATGAAGGGTCTACGCCAGGATTTCCCAACCTTTCTGGGCCTGCAGCGAATTTCAATAAAATGTTTCTCTGACTGGCAAACTTCAAAGAATTTCTGCAGACTAGCAACGTTGTTTGTAATTTTTCCAGACTGAAAAAAGTTCTGCTTGAAAAACTTATTCAAGGCAGGTATTCAAAAGTTTCTGCGATTTTGCGAAAATTAATTTTAAAACCAATGAAGCAGCTACTGTGGAATGTCTTCAAAAACTAGAAAAGTAGGATGAGGAAAGGCTTCCCAGAATAAAAAATTAAAATAAATAATTCCAGTTGGTGAAAATTTTTTTTGAGTGTTATGAGGAAAAAAGGCTGCTTTTCTTTTTCATCAGATAATTCTAACTGTTATCGACTTCCCAAAATGTTCGATGATGATGTACTAACAGACTCTATTGCTTATTTTGATAAATTGTTCATGCCGAGAAAAATTTTCCGCAGACTGGCAAAAAAAATTTGCGGACCGGCGCCAGTCTGCGGACCACGGATCGGGGAGCAGTGGTCTACGCTAAATTATTTCTTTTGAAAATAGGTGATGGAATTTAGAAACCCGTCAGGCAACAACCATGCATTGAATCTATTTGATTGAAAATTGCAGAAAAATAATCCGCTCTTTTTTCAGCTGATTCTTGACAATAGCTTTTCATAGTTCCGTGAAAATTTTTTTTTTCCTGCACGTGGCAAGGATCCAAGACAAATTCACCGCCATGAAAGAACGAGAACTTTGCCAAAAGATAGCAGTGGGAAATGTAAGCTCTTGTTTGTTATGTCGAAGGAAATATTGTAAAGAGGCGAACTTGACCTTGCCAGAAGACTTGATGCCCTTTATAAGGCTCAGGCAGATTAGAACCCAAGAACACAGGGATGATAGGGCAAGGCCCCATTGTACCTTCCCAATGTTCCCTAGGCTTGTGTTTTCATCGATCCCCAGGACGTAGCGGTTCAAATATTCTTCAGAGGCTGCAAATTCAGAAAATAAATTTGTAAAAGTGAGTATTTTTTCAGAAGCATGGGCTGTGATTTAAATTGTCTTAATGCATATTCTGTTTATTCTCGACAGCTAAGAAACTCGTACATTCAAGACTAATGAAATCAGTGCTCGAATGAAGTGCTTCTGATCTTTCCGAACACGTGATGAAGGTCGTGAAATCTGAAGACGGAAAATCCCAACGAGCTTCGCTCTCAATTATCTGAAGAACGTAATTCGAGAAGGAATTACTTTGTTCGAAACTAAAATCAATTCCAATCTCTCCAAACAGTTCTCTTCCCACGGAAATTGAAATCTCAACAAGCTTTCTGAGAGAAAGAGACCTTTGGGGAAGATTGATTGCCCATTGTTACTGATTTGATCCCCGAATAGCATATGTTGAAAGTAATTATTAATTAGAAAAATTATAAAGGTCGAACAGTTTTCAAACTTTTATACGATTTTTTTCGCGAATTCACAAAAGTCTGTGGTGAAACAGTAACTCCAACTAATTTAGTTCATTAATGCAGAAATCGATTTATATCTACAACAGGCAAAATAATTCTAGACTTTGCTCCAGTTAAGTGTAAATTCGATCCTATTTGAAACAAAACACTTGTAGTGCCAGAGAGAACTTTAATTGCATGATAAAATCACTCACATCATGACATACCAAAGCACATGTTTCATTCACTATTTGACTTTGAAGATCATACATGGTTCTAAACTGAAGCTAAAAAAGTGCTTTAAATTCGGTTCGGTAATGGTTTTGAAATTCTTATTACTGATATTTTCTTTTTGTTATCAGGGAAGGAAGGCGGTCTATATTCATTCACACCAGTTGTGCAGATGTACATTGTGGGATGTATTTTCTTTTCTTTTGGTATTCACATACAATTTACTTCTCTGTACTCCATTTTGAAAGTTATTGAATGCTTTTAGTTGGATTTTGCTTGGGAGGGGGGTTTGGATGTGGGCATGTTGTAAGAACCTTGTGAACACTGACAAGCATAAAATAAAGCTTCCTGCTCAATTCAATTCAAAGTTTTCCAACCTTTTTTGTGAACCCATAATAATTGATCAGACTTGTGGACAATTTCTGGTGCGGGTGTAAATATCCAACAACTCTATTCTGTACATATTCAAAGCCATTTCACAAGAATTAAATAAACTCTGAGTACGTACTTTTCTCTTCCTCGTTTGGGGATACAATTTGTAAAAGACTAACGAATCTTGAGATATACTCACTTTCGTCAGCTGAAATTCTTCTTCCGCGATGAGAATCTGGGAAACCCATTAAAAAGGGAAATGAGTTTTCTCACCTGAGACGCGGTCAGCAACCGGCAAAGCACTTATGCCCTTTGCGGCTGCCTCTGAAACGTTGTGGCAAAGTCCGCCGGCATAAATCCCGCTACTCTGGTTACACCGTTCGTACTCCGAGTCACTGAAGCATTCTTCCACGGAAAAATCGCACAGCATTAGCAACGCTTTGTTTCACAAACTAGCCCGCGCATAATTTCCTACAATAATGTGTTTTCTTATTTCCATGTTAACTTTATTTTCAACTCGGTTTTCAAAGAAGTGTGGCGCGCATGAAGCAAGAAAGCGAGCAGGGAATTATCTATCAAGACAGAAAGTATTCCGCTACGAACTGATTTTGTTCGTTGACCGTGTCGAGTCGGGATTCCAAAATTAAAACAAAGAGGGTTTCTGTAAAAAGTTGCGCAAAATATCCTCTCGCAGCAACGAAAGAACTCCCGCGATTAAAAATACATGAAATTATTCGTTCCCTTAAAAGATACAGTGGTGTCATTTTTGAACATGGACCTGACGGTATATTCAAATACCCTAGATTTGTTTCATGCACCTTGTTCGATACCAGCTTTTGTTCGCTTGTCGTTTGCGTTTTCTATACATGGGTGCACAGGCGATTGAGTATGAAAGCTTAATTTGGATACAATTTAAATTAGTACCTGGGCCGGTACACAATTCAAATGATCCCGAAATGGAATGTCAAGTTGGTTAATTCAAGTAAAAAATCGCTGTAAGTTCAAGAGGAAACATTTGACGAAAAAATCCATATTCAAATTAACTCTCCCCATGATATTCTGCCAGAAAAAAAATCGTGCTATTAAAAAATGCAGTATAAAAAAACAATAGCTACTGTTGTGCGAAGACTTTCTCTCCACAACGAATTTATCTTAATGCCCGACGATTTGTGGTAAAAAATTTTAGTTCTTCTGTATGCTCCATTTTCAGAACAATGGATTAAAAAATACCAAAGGGAAACGTCAAGCGGTAGAGTTTTATCCCTCATATTTTCATTAAAACTGACGAGAATTTTTCTACGCTCAAAATTTTGAAATATCCCTTCTCAGGCTTCGTGTACCACGTAATAACATTGATGGCTTAAAAAAAGGCTAATTTGAAGGGACATAAAAGTTTCTTACTCGGCGTGTTGTAACCGTGACCACAATACTGCCATGGCAGGTCACTCGTAAACGAAGCGAACAGGTAGAAAATCGTCCATCCGATGATCATGTTGTAGTAAATTCCAACGATGGCATTCGCGAAGAAAGTGCAGTAGCCAATGCCTGCAAATTTGAAATTTTCCGAAACCCCGTGAAAGTCATGCTGCCATATTCTTCAACGACCTTTTTTGAAAGGGACATGGACAATCCCGGACTAACAAATTGACGACTGTACACTTTGAGACAGAGAATTTGAGACAGTGTCAATTGAAGGCAGGGTAATTTAGAGACAGAGCAATTTCAGACTGCACCAATTAGAGGCAGCAAAAATCCAATGTGATCTAACCTTCACATACATCTTCATCTTAATTCTCTTCTCAACGCTTTTTTCCAAAATCTATCTAACACATAATTTATCACATATTGAATGCAATTGTTCATAATGGATCAAGAAAGGAATGAGAGCAAGGGGAAGTTTTTTTTTAAACCAAGTAAAAATATGAATCCATTATGAATATCACGCGATATCGATTCACACTGCATTGCAAAAACGATGATGACTCTTCACAATAACTATGTGATTATTTCAAAAATAGAGAAATGTAAAAATATAATCATTGGAGGAAGATGCTTTTTTAAAGAGGGTTTTGCCCGTGCACCATTAATTGCCTTATGGTAATACAAATGCTTCCGTTTCAAATAGCACCACCGTCTGTCTCAAACCTCCATATTTTTAAAAATGTGTCAAACAGTCTTCTAAAACAGTTTTCTGTCTCAAATTTTATCTGTAAATATGGAAAGGTTTTTGTCTGGAATAGTCCCTGTTTCAAATAGACCCTGCCTCCAGTTGATGAAGACTTAATTGAACATATATAAGTTCACCTGTATGCTAGTAAATAATGTGTGAGGTATATCAGGTACAATATACGAGTACTGCTTATAAATTTTGAAGTTTGGCCTCTATACAAGCCTCATTTATAAGGAAACGCTAAAATTTGACGTGGGGAGTTTTTGAATAAGGAAATACTACCTTTTTCGTGTAGGTTAACCTATTGAAATGAATTTTCTGCCATAATTCCTGTCAGAATCAATTTTTAGACTTTTTAAAATTGCCAAATCCCACGTGGATTAAAAACGTTCAAATAAAAAATTCGAATTTTGTTCTGGTGGGTCAAATGTTCTTACGTTTCGTCCCAATTTAAGAGCACGAGGGCAATATTTTTGTTAAATTACGCAAAAATAATCAATGATGAAACTGCCGGAAAGTTAGAAACAAGTGAAAGCTTATATAATAGCTGCACTCCCCCAAAATTCCATAATCTAACATCCACTTCACTTTCTTCGTGTCGATGTCTTGGCCAGTCACAATATTAAAAAATCAAACAACTTCCAAAATATCGCTTCTTGAATGCCACTTACTAAAAAGTCAACAAACGAGCGTAAATCTCATGTTGTCAACACAGTCCGGCCTGAACCTTTGAATTGCTTAAATTTGCGAGATTTGTGGAAGTGGAAAAGACTGAGTTGCTCTTTTTCGGAAGTAATGAACAGTGCGTACAGTATACAATAAGGATGAAACCAGGATTTTTTGGCCCATTTTGCCAGAATTCACCAAAATCGATCCAAAACCAAACCCTTTGCAGCAGCTGCATCAGAGCGCCTCAACAGATGCTGCCTATGAAACCGCAGCGTCCCACAATATTCCCTAGCCATTCAAGGAGCTTCAGCAAACAATATTGCATAATCCTTTTTGAATTGTTGCCCATTGCAGCAGCTGCATCAGAGCGCCTCAACAGATGCTGCCTATGAAACCGCAGCGTCCCACAATATTCCCTAGCCATTCAAGGAGCTTCAGCAAACAATATTGCATAATCCTTTTTGAATTGTTGCCCACAGTCAACCCCTGAAAGTGGTTCCATTCTATTCTAATATAAACAGACCCCCAAATATTCCACAGTCCACCACCCTTGGGTTTTAATGAATTTTACCCAGAGCCCAAAAATATTAGCATGTGCTCTCTTCCGAAATGATTTCGATTGTTACGCTCGAGGTTTAATGAATTGTCAACAATCCGTTATGCGAAATTTTCTTTACAAATATTTTCCCATGCCTATGCTGTATTTTAGGCTTCTTTCAGCGAGCTTAGGTTTAAAAAATTCTAAGCTTGTCTTTAAAGTACCGAAGGAATGATACTTGAACGCGAATCTAAATGAATGAATGCTTTCCATTGTACTTCAATAAGTTACCGAAGACAAATAAATCCCGTGAGAAAAAAAAATCGATTCATCCAAAAAAAAAGGCATTCAACAGAATGACGAAGAAAATGATAAAAAAAAAAGATTCTCTCGCTCGAAGAATTCAACATTTCCTGAACGGCTGTCCTGATTTCATCTACGGTCAGCGTCGAGGAAAACCATATGTCCTTCAAATAAAGCTCTAGTTTCAGAATCTTTTGTTTTCAGTCCAGAAAAAAAATCGTGCTTGAAAATAGGGACGGAAACTGGGGGATTTCGATGAAGAAACAAGAAAGCAATTTCGAGTTTTTTGCTCTCAGCAACATCAACTGCGGAAAAGTTTCGCCACGCTGCGGCTTTCGGTGTTGCTGTTCTCTGCGTAGTTGCAGTTTGTTGTGCTCAACTCGACAATGGCAGCTGTTTCCGGATTCAGGAAACGTCATCTGCGTCGACAGCACGACGACAGCGACGGCGATGGGAACCGATGATCAAAATGCGCGACCTTGGTTTCTTTTTCCGGCAAAAGTATGCAGAAGAATAAGCAGAAAATAAAAGACAAATGGCAAAGATGAAAAACAAGATAAGCGCGAATCTCCGACGACGGAAGTGATGTTCCGTACGCATGTTTGACAACCAGGATGTTTGAAGACCTCGCTTTTTTTGAGCAATTGCTCGGTCGATGACATGGTTTGAAATCCACCATCTTCCCTTTGTTATCCAGCTAGAATTTCATTCTTACAAGACATCGTGACACAATGCCCATTTTTGCCCTGAAAAAAGAGCATTGAAAGTCCAGCTGCGTTCGGTTCTCGGAAACGAATTCTGGGATTCGAATAACGGAGTTTTTCTTTCGCTTTTTCCCGAGGGCGTTGCTCGATAATTCAGAATGCGAAAAAAATAACCTCAGCAATATTACTTCGCTTTCGTGAAAAGGCTACTTTGCTTGAAGAAAACTCCGCAAAACGAAACAAAGTAATTTTTGCCGACAGTTAGACAGCGAAGAAAAAGTGTTTACTTCAAAGGTTGGACCCGAATAAGCAGAGAATTTTTGACACCCTTTGTCTCTTGTACAAATAAAAACTGATCTTCAAAAAAAGAAGAAAGAAAAGATACAAGTACACTTTTTCTGCCGCAACCGATTTATATCTCGCAAAACAAAACTTTTCAACCTATTGATGCAACTAAGAGTTTGAAGCTTCACGCAATCACAGGATATGTTCGATTCGTCTTATAGTATCAATTTTTAAAGTGTTTAGTCGTTCCTAAAACGTGTCATTCAAACATTAGAAAACCCTTGCCTTGTTCAGGGTAAACTATAAAAAAAATCATCTGAAGAGCCCCAACAAGCCTTTTCCGGAATATCTTAGAGATTTAGACAACTTCCTCAGTTGTGTTTTTTCTTCATCTGATCATGATAACACAATTGGGAACTTGGCATTCAAGAAAGGTGGAATGGATAAACGGGTCAGGGGAATTACATCTTCAAAATTTTCGTTTTGCTGAGTTCATTTGCTGGTCCTGTCAAGTTAATTTCACAAGTTTCATGCATTCATATGCTGAATTTAGTCCTCCTTCCAAACCTTGCAATTTTAAAGACTTTTCCGTCATTCTATTCTCGAACATTCCAGAAAACTGATTTGTAATTTTGAAAAACTTCGGTCGCAAACAGTTTGAGAATTTATCCATATTGTCATTTCAACTCCGCACGTTTAAAAATTGTATACCTTGTATACATTGGTATAGAAAGTCGCAAAATGATTTGAAAACATTTTGA